TGACACGCTTTTTTATTTAATTTTTACCATAATAGGCGTACTGATCTACTGAGGTAGGTGATAGTACTGTCATATCATATATGAGCAATTGAGCCTCAGGATGATTAATGTACGTTATGGCTGCAGGATTTGAACCCATGCCACGCTTTCTTCTGAGCTGGATGTTTTTGCCTAATTATGTGAGGCAATATGTGCTCTCAAAGGTCAACTTAGAGCTTTACCTTCTTACGACTATTAATTGTGGGGGCTAAATGTTAAATTGTCTATGTTTAGAATGTGTCATCTGAGTTTTCTAATTTACTGAACTTTTTATTTGTATTAATTCACGGTGAAACTTTTACAAAAAGGGACTCACTTAGCAATTTTATTTTATTTTAGGCAGTATTTGGCAGTTGTATTCAAAGATAAACCCCTGGAGTTGTGGGATGTTAGGACTTGTACCCTTCTTAGAGAAATGTCCAAAAACTTCCCTACAATAACTGCTTTGGTAAGTTACAGTTCAAGAACTAAGTAGTTTATTTAGGTATGTGTGTGTATGGTGAGTGTTTTTCTTTAGCTTGAATTGAAATCATTACTGCCATGTATTTTCTTGTTAAAAATGTGTGTTCAGAGAAGATAATGCAGATAAGTGGAAATACCTCTTATTTTCTTTGATGGGTCAACCTGATATTACATTAGTGCAATTCCAATTATAATTTCATTGGGATAGTTTGATGAACACTATAAACATACTCTAAAATGTTTGTGGAAGAATGAAGTTTCTGAATAATGAAGTCATCCTAGAAAAAAAGTAAATGTGGGAGGCCTGGGCAGAGTTGGGTCCCATTGTACCTGATAATAGTACATATTACAAAACCATGGAAATAAAATCAATATCATATTGGCACAAGAACAGGAAATGATCAGACATAATAAAGAGCTGAGAAATAGATCCGTAAATATTCGGGAACTTAATGTACAATAAAGTAGTATACAAATCAAAGGGAAGGACAGACTGTTTAGTAGATAGTGTTGGGAAAACTGTCTCACTTCATGGAGAAAGATACCAGATCTGTACGTAATACCATATAAAAGCAAGCTCCACAGTATTAAAGACCTAAATGTAAAAAAAAAAAGGGAAGGACAGACTGTTTAGTAGATAGTGTTGGGAAAACTGTCTCACTTCATGGAGAAAAATACCAGATCTCTACGTAATACCATATAAAAGCAAGCTCCACAGTATTAAAGACCTAAATGTAAAAAAAATAAAGCTATAAAATTTAATAACAAAATAATAATATTTTTGTGAGCTGAGGGCAGGAGCAGACATCAGAAGCTAAATTAATGGATTTGATTACATCAAGATTAATTCTTTGTTTGATGAAAAATAAACATTGTCAAAGTTAAATACAGAACACATGGGAAGAGAAATTTTCCAGTGTCTAAAATTGACGAAGAACTCCTACAAATTAACAATGCAAAAATAGGAACCCCAGTGGAAAAATGGACAAAATATGTGAATGGTAGAGAAACCTAAAAGCCAACAAGCATATAAAGAAATGTTCAAACTCATCTGTTTTCAGAGATGTGCAAAGTAAAATAGCCTTGATATATACCTTTTAGACTAACAAAAGTTGAAAAGCCAGATATCGTCAACTGTGAGTGGAATATAGGAAGCCCTGTGTACCGCTGGTAGGAATACAGACCAATGCAAACATACTGTGGAGCAAACTCTTAGTGCTCAGACAAACACAGGCATCCTCTGTGCTCCAGCTGATCAGCTCTTTGTGATAAAGGAACTTTTGCAAGGATATTGACTCCAGTGAAAAAAATTAAGAAACAGGATGAGATATATAATGCATTACTATTTATATAAATTAGAAATAGATGCATGTGAAATAACTACATGTTAAAAACTTATACATATGAGAGGATATTGGATTAAAGACACTAGAATTGATGGAATATAAAAGAATAAATAAATAAAATAACTGGTTTTGGGTGGATCGATGGATGATTATTTCATCTTGTGCACATAATGGGCAGAGGAGAGGGTGGGAGATAGAAGATACCATAATAGAATTCATTAGTTTTATTTTGTAAAAAAGAAAGCATCAAAAGATTAGACCTTTTGGAAGTTTGCCATTGAACTTGCCCACCTTAAGGTCTAATTAAAATGCATTCATTTGGCCTTTCTATAAATGGGCAGAATCTAAAGAACAAATTGTGGACTCACGTGCAGTAATAGTAAATGATGCTGGGTAGTGAAGAGTAGTCTAGCTGTTCTGTAAGAATTCATTGACTGAAGGACACCGAGCACTTCCAGGTTTGTCTGTCTTTGCTTCACAGGAGTGGTCACCATCTCACAACTTGAAGAGCTTGAGAAAGAAACAGCTTGCTACGAGAGAGGCCATGGCCCGCCAGACCGTAGTCTCAGACACAGAGCTGAGTATCATTGAGTCGTCTGTGATCAGGTACACTACACTGTTTCCTGCCACTGTCATTTTTACTATCAGTATCATGGCTGGGAATTTGGCAAGTGTCATCCAAAGGCATTTATGGTAGCAAGTTGGACTCTGCTTTTGAACATGCTTGGTTTCGTATTTCAGTACATACCCAGATTACTGAAAAGTTAATTTTATTATTGTATTACTTATTATAGTCAATAATATATGCAGTAATGTCCACTCATCAGCATCCATTAGTGAATATAATCATTCTTAGTGCCCTTCTCTTCCATAAACTTCAGCTTCTGAAATTCAGATGAACGTAGTAGCATAAACATACAAGTAGGTCAAATTATTATTTATGTACACCAAAGAAAACTTATCGGGAATTCTAAACTTATATACCATACCCATCCACACCTATTTTACAAGTAAAAAACTTCAGAAATAATGATGGGTCCGTGTAAGGTCTGTCTTTTGTTGAGGAGAGTTCTGCAGCAAAAACAGCTAAGAGGTTTCTTTTTCTTGTGTTTAGATCACTATTTTCCTCTGTTCAGGTTAAACTTTTTCTCATGGTATGACTATTTGGGAATGATTTGTGTTTTTCTATTATTAGCTGGGCAAAGATTAATTTGACTTTTTAAAAATGGTTCTGAACCTCCTGTTAATGCATCCGTACTTTGGGCAAGTTAATCAATTATGGGTGTCGCCCTAGGGAAAAGAAATATCTTTATCTTATTTTTCTCTATCCCAAAGCTTATTGCAAGAGGCAGAAAGTAAATCTGAACTCAGTCAGAACATCTCTGCCCGGGAGCATTTTGTATTTACTGATAATGATGGCCAAGTTTATCATCTCACTGTTGAAGGAAACTCGGTGAAAGATAGTGCTCGGATTCCACCAGATGTGAGTCTAATCCTGATTAACTTCATTAAGAGTTTTTGTCAAAGATTTTGTTGGTTTCATACCCACCGAAGGCTTCTTCAGAAAAACTTAATATAAATAAACTTTGCTATTTAAGGAGACATTATCATTAATTAAGCTTATTCCATACTGCTAGAAAATAGCATTACAACTATTTTGATTAAATATTTACAATTTGTTAGGAATTATTTCTATTTTACCTGTAACGAAACTAAGAGAAAATAAGTAACTTTCTCAAGGTTACCCAGTGTAATTATGTGAAAGAGCAGTGTTTTAAACCCAGGTCTGTCTGACTTCAGTATCTGTCCTCTTCCCATTTTAGGCATTACCCTGAAGGATTTGACTTACAGTCTAGTATTACTTTCGGATAACAGTAATCAGGTTGTAAGTGTAATAGTATGACTAATATTTACTAACTCATATACTCGTATATTCTTTTTATGGCCTTGTGGAATCCTTTAACTAAGGTTTTGTTAATAATTTGTGTCAGCATGAATTTCAAAGGTTTTTTTTTTTAATATTTTATTTTATTTTGTCAATATACAATGTGGTTGATTATTGTGGCCAATTACCAAAACCTCCCTCCCCCCTCCCGCTCCCCCCTCCTTCAAAGGTTGTTTTTAAAAATAGATGAATTGAGAAAATGTTTTTGTTAACTACTACAGACTACTGTAATAGTTAAATGGAAGCATGAGGGGATTTTAAAATATATATATATTTATTTAAAATTGCCTGCCAAAAATGGAACATTCTAGTAGAATGCCAACCTCCTATTATATAGGTGGCTCAGGGTCTCATGAGGTTGCAGTCATTTGAAGCTAAATGGGGTAGGAGGATTTGCTTCCAAGATGGTTCACTCACATGGCGACTGCAAATTAATGCTGGCTGTTGGTGAGAGGCCTCAGTTCTTTCTTATGTGGACATCTGCACAGGGCTGCTTGAGTGTCCTCATGGCATGACAGCTAGCTTCTGTGAGCGAGTGATCCAAGAGAGCAAGAAGGAAGCTGCAATGGCTTTTATGACCTAGTTTCAAAAGTCACACTCTGATTTTTGCAGTATGCTCTCAATTCGTGGCTCAACTGTATTCATTGTGGGAGATGACACCAGGTCTATGACTTCCAAAAGGCAGGGTCAGTGAGGGCCTCTTGGAGGCTGGCTACCAAATCTTCTTTATGAGTAAATGTAGAAGAATTGAGGGCATTCTCACCAAAAACTTTCTCTACTTCTAAAAATCAAAGCTAACTTGAGAGTGCTTTTCAAATTATAATTTAATTTATACTATTATATAAGCCAAGTCCTTTCTGAAACCCAGTTACATCTGTTTTAAACTGCCTCTAACATTGCCAAAAAAATTTCAGAATTTTGAAAGGATGAAAATAACAATGCAAATGTGGAAGTTTGATGTTTGGTAGTTATAATAGAAAAGTGACCTTACTTTAAGTGTGTATAAGGAGAAACTATTGTTAAAGGGTGTAGATGTAGAGTTTCAGTGTAACATAGCTATCCTTCGGGAAGTCCCAGTTTGCTTTCTTAGCAATATGTGTAGCTCCTCTTTTAGAACCCCAAAGAAGACCCCATCTGAGCTCTTCCAGTGACACTCACAAACACTCAGCTATGTTTTCTGATCACTTCTCATTTGAGATTAGACTGTAGAAATAATCCAATAATTTTTGATATGCCAGTTCCCCCATCTCACTGTCCCCCAAAAATGTTTTAAACTTTTTGACATTGGACACATGAGTGTTCCTTTTTATAAATGCTTCTTACAGGATGATAATTTCACCACACAGCTTTAAGGATTCCATCTCTTTTAGTGGAAGCCTGAAGTCAGGATATAGCAAGTCTCTGTTCTGCCTGCCAGATCCTTTTATTCCAACGCTAGATGCAGCTCTCTCAAGGAATGATCAGCTTACTAAGGATCCAGCCTCCAGTGAAATTAGGGCATGTTTTAGAGCAGATTATTTTTAGGGAAAGGGGATTGACATCTACTATACACATATAGTATGTGAAAAATTGGTTTTAATTATTTCTGTTTTCTGGAATTAAAATATTTTCCAGTGACTGTAATGTAGAATTTAGGCAGAACTTTTTGTTTAATTCATATTTATCTTACCCTTTTCCCAAATGTAGAGTATTAAAAATTCATTCTGAGTTGAAACTTGCCCTCTGGATTTTGGCCCCTGAATTGTAGAGTATATAAAAATGGTAAAGAGAAGGAGAAAGCTTGCCATATTTTAAATTATGTGCATGTGGAGAATCTATAGTTGACTGACTTTATTTAGAAAATTAGCACAAATGAGAGTGAATGTCTCTGCCTTGCTTCCAGCCTTCCTTCTGACCTTTTGAACATCATATTTTGCATGTAGATAACATATCAATATCAAATAAAAATATTCTATTGAGGTTTAGTTTTATTTTGGTTCTCTTGGGATGATTTAGAGCCCCAAAATGGTTAGGCGTGCCTCATCCTCTGAAAACACCTTGGTCTCTCCATGTGGCTTGTATCCCATCAGCAACACTCTGAGGTGGGAAGGTAATTGCTTTGTAACTCTGAGTTCTCGGCTAAGTTAAACCTTAATATTCTAATTTTTAAAAATTAAATAAGTAATATTTAAAATGTGAAAATATTCAAGACCAAAAAGTAAATTTAAAGGCAAATTCTTAAACATTTTGTTAGTATATAGGAAAATAGAAGTAAGATCTTGGAGTGTTGCTCCATATTAAACAGAATTTTATTTGTTTAATATACCTAAGTTTTTTATTATTGAATTCATTATAATACAAGAATACCTTGGAGCTATTGTAGGTTTGGTTCTACACCCACCACAATAAAGCGAACACTGCTGTAAAGCGAGTTACATGAATTTTTCGGTTTCCCAGTGCATATAAAATTATGTTTACACTATATTGTAGTCTATTAAGTGTGCAAGGGCATTATGTCTAAAAAATTGTAGATACCTTAATTAAAAAATACTTTATTGCTAAAAAAATGCTAACAATCGTCTGAGCCTTCAGTGAGTCATAATCTTTTTGCTTGTGGAGGGTCTTGCCTCGATGTTGGTGGCTGCTGACTGATCAGGGTGGAGGTTGCTGAAGGTTGGGGTAGCTGTGGCAGTTTCTTAAAATATGACAACAGTTAAGTTTGCCACCTGGATTAACTCTTGATTCTTCCTTTCACAAAAGATTTCTCTGTAACATGTGGTACTATTTGATAGCATTTTATCTGCAGTAAAATTTTCAGAATTGGAGTCAGTGTTCTCAAACCCTGCTGCTGTTTTAAGTTTGTGTAATATTCTAAATACCTTGTTTTCACTTCAGCAATGTTCACAGCATCTTTACCAGTAGTTTCCATCTCATGACACCACTCTCTTTGCTCATGCATAAGAAGCATCTCTTCATCCATTCAAGTTTTACCATGAGATTGCAGTAGTTCAGTCACATCTTCAGGCTCCACTTCTAATTCTGGTTCTCTTTCTAGTTCCACCACATCTGCGGTTACTTCCTCCACTGATGTCTAGAACCCCTCAAAGTCATCCATGAGGGTTGGAATCAACTTCTTTCATATTCCTGTTAATATTGATGTTTTGACCTCCTCCCACAAATCATGAAATGTTCTTCAAATGGCATCTAGAATGGTGACTTCTTTCTCGGAGGTTTGCAGTTTACTTTGCCCAGATCCATCAGAGCTATCAGTGGCACCTGAAGTCTTACAAAATGTATTTCTTAAATAGTAAGTCTTGAAAGTTGAAATTACTCATTGATCCTTGGACTGCAGAATGGATGTTTTGTTAGCAGGCATGAAGACAACATTAATCTCCTTGTACGTCTCCATCAGCACTCTTGGTTGACCAAGTGCATCGTTAAGGAGCAGTAATATTTTGAAAGGAATCTTTTTTCCTTAGCAGTAGGTCTCAACAGTGAGCTTAAAATATTCAGTAGCTCATGCTGTAAAGAGATGTGCTGTTATCCAGGTTTTGTTGTTATATTTATAGAGCACAGGCAGAGTAGATTTAGTGTAATTCTTAAGGGCCTTAGGTAAATGAACATTGGCTTCAACGTCAAGTCACCAGCTGCATTAGCCCCTAACAAGAGAGTAAGCCTGTCCTTTAAAGCTTTGAAGCCAGGCATTGACTTCTCTCTAGCTATGAAAGTCCTAGGTGACTGCTGCTTCTAATATGAAGCTGTTTCATCTGCATTGACAATCTGTTGTTCAGTGCAGCCATCTTCATCAGTGGTCTTAGCTACATCTTCTGGATCACTTGCTACAGCTTCTCCATCAGCACTTGCTGCTTCACCTTCACTTTTATGTTACGCAGACAGCTTCTTTCCTTAAACCTCATGAATCCACCTCTCCTGGTTTCAGACTTTTCTTCTGCAGCTTCCTTGTCTCTCTCAGATTTCATAGAATTGAGGAGACTTAAGGCCTTGCTCTATATTAGGCTTTGGCTTCAGGGAACTCACCAGATGCACCCCTGGATTCTGGACTTTTCAGCCTCCGAAACTGTAAAAAAAAGAAATTGTTTTCTTATAAATTACCTAATTTCAGATATTCTGTTTTAAGCAACAGAAACTGGACTAATATACTCGATTAGCTTAAAGCTTTTTTTCTGCAGCTACCTCACCTCTCTCAGCCTTCATAGAATTGAAGAGAGCTAGAGCCTTGCTCTGAATTAGGCTTTGCTTTAATGGAATGTTGTGGCTGGTTTGATCTTCTATCCAGACCACTAAAACTTTCTCCACATCAGCAGTAAGGCTGTTTCACTTTCTTATCATTCATGCATTCACTGGAGTAGCACTTTTAATTTACTTCAGGAACTTTTCCTTTGCACTCACAGCTTGGCTGTTTGGCACGAGAGGCCTAGCTTTTGGCTTGTCTCAGCTTTCAACATGCTTTCCTCATTAAGCTTAATCATTTCTAGTTTTTGATTTAAAGTGGGAGATGTATGATTCTTCCTTTTACTTGAACACTTAGAGGCCATTGTAGGGTATCTAATTGGCCTAATTTCAATATTGTTGTGTCTCAGGGAATAGGGAAGCCCAAAGATAGGGAGAAAAATGGGGGAACAACCAGTAGTGGAACAGCCAGAACACACTCAGCATTTATCGATTATGTTCACAGTGTTGTATGGGCATGGTTTATGGTGCCCCGAAATAAGTACAATAGTAACATCAAAGATCATTGATCACAGATCACCATAACAGATAATAATGGAAAAGTCTGAAATATTATGAGAATTACCAAAATATGACACAGAGACATGAAGTGAGCATTTGCTGTTGGAAAAATGGCACCAGTAGACTTGCTCAACACAGGATTGCTACAAGCCTTCAATTTGTAAAAAACATCATATTTGCAAAGCCAAATAAAGCGAAGTGCAGTAAAACGAGGAGTGCCTATATTGATTTTTTTAAATCCAGTTTTTCTTCTGTTTCTTGAATGCTGCTGTGATTTATGCCATATTTGATGTTTGTCTATTAATGGTCAATTTGTTAAACCATCAAAGCTTTCCTACTTCTTACCACAGATACTGTGTAAATTTTTATATTGTATTATAAATGAAAAACAAGATTTCTTTTAATAAATAGAGAAGTAATTGAGCAGTAGTATTATTGAATAGCTAACATGTTGACTGTTTACTGTGTGGCAGGCATTGCTTTAAGGCCTTTCTTTACCTTTATAAATTTAATAACACTAATAGCAGCTCCTCAAGTTTCATGAGCTTACCCTACATTATTGATGACAAATCTAAGCCCCTGAAAGGTTAAGCAAGTGTGCCCCAAATCACTCACCAGGTTAAGTGGTGAAGCTGGGATTCAAGCCCAGGCAGTCTGACTCCAGAGCCCAGGCTGCTGAGCTCTCTATTACACTGCCTCTGTGCATCCGTGAGAAAGGCCAGTTCCTCTCTTCCTCCAGGTTAGCTTTATTACAATAGTTTCATTCTTATATTTGTGTTTCTGTATGTAACTTATTTGCAAAGCTTTTGATGAATCAAGCTATGCAAAATACCCTTAATAAACAGCATTTCTTTGCTTTATTGTTCCAGAAGGTTCTAGAAGGTATCAGTGAGGCTCTGGATCCTCTTTTGCAATATAAATTTACTTCACAGTTAGTTTTGAAACAGCTTTGAATTTCCTTTGGAATGGATTTATCTTTTTAGGATGAGAGATGTTAGAGTCAGCTCTCTTGAAAGACTTACTTCTCTTTTTTTCTTCTTTTAGTTTTCTTTTCTGTAAGGTATTTCTTCCTCAAAAGAGATCCCTTCTCTATAAATTTAGCTCAGATAACTTAATGTCTATCAAATTGAAATCTCCTGTTTCTTCATATTTAAAATTGATATGTGTGTAGCTCTTTTAGTGTGTGAAGTCTATGTTTTAGGATTTAATGGCATTCATACTACCCAGCAAAACCCTTTATAATTAAGTTTTATTAAAATATTTTGATTATTTTATCATGGTCATTAAGTAAAAATGTTTCTCTGTTATTATGACTTATAAGTACTGATATTTATGTATGTTTGTTGCTGTTGTTTTATAGGGAAGTATGGGTAGTATTTCCTGCATCGCTTGGAAAGGTGATACACTAGTGCTTGGAGATGTGGTCGGAAATTTAAATTTTTGGGATTTGAAAGGCAGAGTATCCAGGTATGAACCAAGAATGACATCTTGTTATTTAGTTTAAAAAAAAAATAGTATCCTCTTGATGTATTTCCTTGGAGGCTTGTGACTTGGCACACAGGATCAGTGAACATGGCCAAGTGTAGCTTGGACCCTTTCCCTTGTCACCTGAACTTGGGAGGAAAGGCCTTGGGCTGGGCTCCAGATCATTCATAGGATACCCTTATCTGCAGCTGGCCTGTGCAGAAGTTCTGGGACCTTATTCTAGCTGATGTTAATAAAGGGCAGGCCTTTTCTGTCAGATGCAGCCCTCTATCCCAGAAAGTAAAGTGATTCTCCGATTATCAGACCTTGTCAGAAACGGAAACAGGAAGAGATGTTGGGCGTAGTTTCTGGTGACTAGATGTTATTCTATATCATATTGGTATTTTTGATTTTGTTTGTTTGTTTGTCCTCAGAGGAATACCTACCCACCGAAGTTGGGTGAGGAAGATTCGTTTTGCCCCTGGCAAAGGAAACCAAAAATTAATAGCCATGTACAGCGATGGAGCTGAAGTGTGGGACACTAAGGAGGTAGGCCCAGTTCCACAAGGATGAGATGTAAATGAGGCTGCTGGTCACAGGAGCTGTGGTTTTGTTTTTTTTCTTCTTCCTGATGTGGAAATTTAAACTATATAATGGATGTGTAACTTGTTATAACAAGTTATTTTCTTTTTAAAATTTTTATTTTTCCAGTATTTCTGTTCTAAAGGTAACACCTCAACAGATTAATTAATTAATTAATTAAATGTTATCGCTGTCTTTGAGACCTTTAAAATAGAGTCTGCATGTGGGAGAGAGATTGCCAAAGGCTATGTAATTCTCTGCTTGCACTGGGCTTTTGCTACAGGCACTTCCTTTACCATTTAATCTCAAATAATAAACATGTTTCTTTTCTGTCTGAAAGTGACAACTAAATTCACTCTTGAAGGTTCAGATGGTAAGCAGTTTAAGAAGCGGAAGAAATGTGACCTTTCGGATATTGGACGTGGACTGGTGTACGTCAGATAAAGTGATCCTGGCATCAGATGACGGGTGCATCAGAGTCCTGGAGATGTCTATGAAGTCCACATGTTTTCGAATGGATGAACAAGAATTAACCGGTATGGAATTCTAATAAAAGGGTAGCTTGAAACCTGTCTTTATTTTTTCATAAGCTCCTGTCTTCTGAGGAGTTGAACTGCTTCTGTTTTATTTCAGTCTTATTTTCTAGAAATCTTGAGTATTTTTATTGCTGAGGTACTGTACTCTTTGTAACCACAGATGTCATTCATTCCCAGCTCAGATTTTATAAGTGCCTCTTTTTTGACCCTTTTCTGAGTGATTTGTTAACAAGGTAAAAGATGTTTACATTCATAAAAATGGCTTACTCAGATTTAGGAGAACTCATCAGAAGACGTGAATCTAGTGATGGGGCTGCTGGCTTTTTAATAATGAGCCTCATATCTTTTGCAACCATATATCATTGAAAAGTCACTTTGGAAATTGTTATAAGTATCATGAATTTTGACACTTATCTATGACTTGTTAAATGGCCAAAGCAAAATTAGGCGATTGCAATATTTTTCCCTTTTCGTATGACTGTTTTGAGATGTTTTTTACCAGATTGAAAAATATTTTAGTAGTTGGGCCAGCCCGGTGGCGCACTGGATAAGTGCGCCGCTTGGGAAGTGCGGTGGCGCTCCCGCCCGAGGGTTCGGATCCCACATACAGACCGGTTCCCGCTCACTGGCTGAGC